AAATATTATAAACAACGTCTCCTCCTTTACCCACCACCACGGCTTGCTTTTAAGAAGTCTGTTTTCATAAACAGCATGTCTTGTCTGTTCAAAACAGCATAACTAGGAGTTGCCATATCAAATACATTTATGGAAGATAGCAATAAAGAAATACCTTGACAGACTAATGATGACCTCCCGCAAGCCAGGCACTTAAAATGCTCACTTTCCTGCTTAGCAGATTAAAAAGTAATAGCTGAGTGGCACAGTTTCCACTGGCTTGTCAAGTGTAATACCTGCCCTAAGAGCTACTGTGAAAACAAAAAAATCAGACACACCATAGAGATGGCTACCAAGTCAGTCAGTCTAACTCTGGGACATAAAATAGCCAGTTGGTCTCAGCTTCCAGTGGACACCAGAAGAGACTGAAGGTAGATGAGAAAACAGACCTGCTTTTTCCATTTCTTACCTTGCTGAAGCTTATGGATTTCTGTAGCATTTCTTCTGGTTTAAAACTAGGATGGGAAGACCCAGCTTTGTTAAGGAGGAGGGACTGGCTTTGCAGCTATCTGGGTATTTTGTCTGGTGCCTAAGCATTAGTGTCTTGCACATAGCTTCCCATTTAAGTAGCAAAGCTAAGGTTAGAGACAGAAATGTACAAATGAGCAAGTAGCACGCTCTTATCAAGAGTGGAAGTGAAATTTTAAATAGTAAGAAAGGCTAACTTGGACAGCACTTTGCAGAGGAGTAACACCTGGACCGGTGCAGAATTGCAGCAAGGACTTTGCCACCACGTTCACTGGCTTTGTCACAAACTGTCCTTGAGTTCTGCAGAGTTGTTTGGGTGGGCAAACCCTGGCCTGCTCCCAACGGTGGCCCTGGCAGGAGGGAGCAGCCGTACACCGGCTGCACATCCAGAGTCACACACCGTGCCCGCAGGCACCTATCGGGCCCAGTTTTGCCTCGTGGTATTTCTTTAGGAGATCACATGCTGCCGAGCTAAGCCCAGGAGGATCAGGGGTGATGCTCCTTTCCCAAATCAGCTGTAACTTCTCATTCCACTGTGCCTTATATTCTGTAAAGATCCCATTGCATTTCACATCACATAACACACAAATAGAGAACACCATTCTTAATAACATAGCATATTCCTTTAAAATTATTTGACAAGCACAATGAATAAATACAACTTAAAGCTAGCTAAGTGCTAGCCTCTTTAAATACAAATGCACACAAGCGTGTGTCACAGTTTAACCCCAGCTGGCAACCAAGCACCACACAGCCACTCGCTCACTCCCCCCTCCCTCAGTGGGATGGGGGAGAGAATCGCAAGAGTGAAAGTGAGAAAACTTGTGAGTTGAGGTAAAGACAGTTTAAGAGGTTGTCCTGGTTTCAGCTGGGATAGAGTTAATTTTCTTCATAGTAGCTAGCATAGTGCTGTGTTTTGGATTTAGTACCAGAAGAATCTTGATAACACACTGATGTTTTTAGCTGTTGCCAAGTAGTGCTCAGACTACTCAAGGACTTTTTGAGCTTCTCCTGCTCAGCCAGGTGCATAACAAGCTGGGAGGGAGCACAGCTAGGACAGCTAAGCCAAACTGACCAAAGAACTATTCCCTACCATATAACGTCATGCTCGGGGGGAGTTAGTTGGTCGGTTGCGGGGAGACTGATCATGGCTTGGGGACTGATCGCAGCTTGAGACGGGCTGGGCATTGGTCAGCGGGTGGTGAGCAATTGCGTTGTGCATCGTTCATTTTGTATATTCTGTTACCATTCTCATTATTACTATTATTATTCTCTCTTATTAAACTGTCTTTATCTCAGCCCACGGCTCTAACTTTTTTTTCCTTCCCAATTCTCTCCCCCATCCCACTGAGGGAGGGGGGAGTGAGCGAGTGGCTGCATGGTGCTTAGTTGCCAGCCGGGTTAAACCACGACAGAGGTAAAGCAAAAGCTGTGCATGCAAGCAAAACAAGGAATTCCTTCACTGCTTCCCGTGGGCAGGCAGGCGTTCAGCCATCCCTAGGACAGCAGGGCTCCATCACACCCAACAGTTACTTGGGAAGACAAACGCCATCACTCCAAATGTCCCCCACACCCTTCCTTCTTCTTCCCCCAGCTTTATGCACTGAGCATGATGTGATATGGTGTGGGATATCCCTTGGGTCAGTTGGGGTCAGCTGTCCTGGCCACATCCCCTCCCAATTTCTTTTGCATCCCCAGCCTCCTTGCTGGTGGGGTGAGGAGCAGAAAAGGCCTTGACTGCGTAAGCCCTGGTCAGCAGTAATGAAATCACCCCTATGTCATCAACGCTGTTTTCAGCACAAATACCAAACAAAGCCCCATACTGGCTACTGTGAAGAAAATTAACTCTCTCCCAGCCCAAACCAGCACAGCATGAAAGCTATTAAAATAACTGCAATCATTATTTAAACAGGTCTATGTAATTCCTAATGTAAGTACAAGGGGTGGAAACTGCCTCATGCCCAAGACTTTGAAATTCACTGCACTAAGTCTTGCACTAAGATTACCATTGCTCAGCCCAAACATTCTGGAGGCAAAATGAAGTTCACTCTGAATTCTATTTATTCTTCCAGATTCACAGAAGGGCAGAAAGCCTTGGTAGAAAAAGGTGAAGAGTGAAATCTTGATTCTGTTCAGGTTAACAGAGAAAGGGCTCATGAAGCCCTGCCCTCGCTGAAGCACCATTAGCATTTCTGAAAGTAGCTGACACAGATGCATTTCTGCTAAAATTACCTCTGCATTTGGGCACATGGGTTTCTCATGGGGTCCCGCACCCACCAGCCAACACTGGGCTATGCTGAGGCTGAAATGAATTCTTAGTTTGGACAAAATTCACAGTGATGCCCACTGAGCTCCTCCTCCAGGTGGGAATGAGCAGAGCCATCTGCAACAAGAGCTGGGAGTTTTCTCCAGAGATCAGTATTAGTGCTTGAAAATGGTAGAGCAGAAGTCTCGCCCTAAAAAGCAAAAAAGTTTTCCACATAAACAGGAAAAAAAAACCCAAACCAACTGGAATGATGCTAAACCAAACCATGATTAAACCAGTGTTGCACTTGGCATTTAAGACACTTGCAATGCCATTAGCTTCCAGATACATGTATTTTGTTAGAAGGATTTGTGTTTGTTGTTTGTTAGCAAAAACAACCTTTTTGCCATTCTTTTGAGTAAGATACATGGGTGTGGCCTAGACGTTTGGCTTCCCCCCCCGAGTGTTTTGAGGAATTCCCACATTTGTTTTCTACTTTCCCTGCTAGCTCTCTCTCCACCTTCTGAAGTTGCATGGGCGACTATTTATTCATCACTTTGCTTTATTAAGATGCAGTTCAGGTTCTCACCTGTGTTGTATGTTTTGCAACCATGAAATATGGATCTAAGGTTCAAAAGACGCAAGGGCGTAAAGAACCTTTCAGACACTTTCTGCTTTCTGAAGGAACTGCAGCAGACACAAGAGCAGTTCAGCAGTGCAGAGCTGTTACCTGTGACCTCAAATAGCTTCTAATATACCAAATTATTTTAGCTTTCAGCATTGCTGTGCTAGAATAAATATAGAGCTCTTTCTACATTTTCATCATGTTCTGATAAAATCCCAGGTCTGACAGTGTATCTTGACGAAAGAGTCCACATGAAATACGTTGCTAATTATTTATATACCTCTTCAAAGGCTCAGTGCTTCTACTTGTACTTCTTGCTACTCTTACCTACCCGGGCCCTAAAGCTGTTTTTCAATCACTGAACTGAAACCCCTTAGAGTAACAAGTTTATAATAGAGGTTCATAAACCTGGCAGTGATTAACAGTACGGGTTAATCAAATTAGTGTAGAACAGGCTTTTCCACCCTTTTCTTTAAAGGAAACTGGCCCCAAGTGTTTTTCCCTTATTGCTACGTGGAAATAAATTTCCAATTAACTTTTACTTACTGGTGTCATAGCAGCCTCTGAAGACCCCAGCCAGAAGCAAGCACTGTGGTGCTTTCCAGCACGTACATACATGCCAGAAGACAGCAGCCACTCCAAAGAGCCAACAACCCAGCACCATCTCACACCAAGCCCAGCGATGCTCAAGCACGGGCAGAGCACGGCTCTGCCAGGACCCATCCCTGCCAGAAAGAGAGCAGGCAGCCTCATGCTCACATCTCATCCTGCTTACTGAACAAGCCACTCAATTTTAAATAATTAAGAGGAATTATCAATTAGTGGCATGGGTTGGTCAGTTGCTTGTGAAAATAAAAAGGATCAAGTCCACCTACTGCCAAACCTACTATGTTTAATTTGCTCCAAGACCAAGAGGACATACACATACCCTACACAGGGGATTAGTACCCAGTTTCAGCTGTTTGCAATTAAACTCACTGAACATTAATTAACAATGGGAAAGGTGGGTCTGGCAGCTGGGCCTACATAGTCTGAACTTCCCCAAACTTGGAGCTACCAAGAAGCTTCAAACAGAAAACAGCTTTCAGTGGCTGCTTTCTAAACCCTGAACATGATGTTTGTCAGCCACTAGCCACAGCATTTTTGTTCAGCGTTTTCTGCAGCATGATCTTGAAATAAATGGGATTAAAATCTTGATTTAAATCTGATGAGGAGAAAAAGGAAATTCCTGGACTGCATTAGCCAAGTGCAGGGACAAAAAATAATGATTGAGCAAGTACTGAAAGGCAAGATATTTGCTTCACCTCGCTGAGTCAGTGTTTTGTTTTCTTGTGTTAATTGCTTCTGGAAATTACAAACCCAAACCACCCACAGTTCTGTGGCTACCAGGCTGAGCCTGAACACACCAACACCTTATTTCGCTGGTAGTTATGAAAACCTGCGCTTGCTCAGGACTTCTTCTGTTACCAGCCAAATTTACAATAATAAACCCATCACCTTATCATAGAATGTTTTGGGTTGGAAGGGACCCCTAGAGGTCATCTGGTCCAACCCCCCTGCAGTGAGCAGGGACATTGCTAACTAGATCAGGTTGCTCAAAGCACTGTCCAACCTGGTCTTAACCCAGACTAAACTCATCCTCCTGCTTGGCAGCTCGCCTTCCCAGCGGCACACAGCCCTCACTCCCTGCCCACGCTTGCAGCCCATTGGGGACATCTCCTTCCTCTCCAGCATCGTACAGGTGCTCAGCACTGGAGCATCCAAGCGCCGCCATAGGGGGTACATTAAGCAATGCAAGTAGTGACTGCTATGGGGTTACTGTGCTCCCTTACCCTCATCCCAACTGCTCAGTATGTATTTGGGTTTTTTCCCCTCTTGCCTAGATTTTCATGTTTCCCTAATGCTCTACTATTTTGTTTCATTCCGGTGGTGGGTATGCGGTGAGATGCTTCAGCTAAACACACGCAGAGACATCTTTGTACCAGCAAGTCAGGCAAGTGTTCAGGACCTGAGGTAGAAGGCAGTAAGCACCAGTCCCTGGATCGTGGGTGTGTTTGTTCTACACTTTGGACCAGTCCTGAAGGCAGATTTTCCTTTTGCAGAGGCAAGTATTAATGCTATGAAATTATTAAAATATTAATAAATAAAAACAGCCACCCCCTACAACACTCACTTCCACCATGCCAGAGAAGCAAAAGTCTTCATCCTGAAGATGTAGTGGTCTACTTTTTCCTCTCTAGCACCAAGTCCTTGCTCTCCTCTACTGTTTTTCCTCTGAAACATTGACCTACGTAACAAAGAAGTTATCATCAGAAGGCATGTGCTTCCCACTTGCATCCTGCGCCACCATCACCTGTGACCCCACCATCTTCCACCTGCTTTCAAATGCTGTTCCCACTCTTCTCTTCATGATAGATTATAACAACTGGGGCAGATTAAAAAAAAAAGGTTATTTGCATATAAGCGTAAACTATCAGTAGACTTCAAGTTCTGAACAGCACAATTTTAGTGATCTGAAGTAGGCATAGACAACTCAGACCAAAGATGCTTTTCTTTCAGCTGATCACAGGATTCATACTAGCATGGGTTTTGGAAACATGGTATAAAAACCATGAGCAGGTAAAGACTAAATTTCTCATTTTTGTCCTCTCCAAAACTGTGGGGGTGTTTTATCCAAAAAAGCAGTGTTCCCCCTTCCTTGCTTTTACTTGGATGACCCATCAAACAGGGTAAGCAAGCAAACTTGCAGCTCTTACACCAGGTGAGTTGGCAAGAACACCACAAAACCTAAAATAACTTCTTTGTTGACTTGTAGTTGGGGTTTTGTTTTACTACTGGAAGTGGTTCAAGTGTTCGTGTTATAGCCCCAAACTGAACAATTGCTATAACTTGAAATCTTAATATTCAGATGTGTGCCAGTATTGTATTCAAGGTCCAATTCATATGCACATTAGCTAACAAACTAGGGAAGTGCAAACATACCTTTCGAGATCATCATCCCTCTTTATATTATACAAGCAGAAAGTCCCATGTAACTCTGCATACACACTAAGCAACTAAGTTTTTATAAGTCTCTGGTTTGCCAGTTATTTCTTTAACTAAAAAAACCCACACCAGACCAAAAAACAATTGCAAATTTCACTCTGCAGTTTTTCAATTTTAGTAGCATAGCCTACGTCTCTCCTCTGGCTTCAGATGAAGCTCTCATTTGATGGCTGGTCTTTGACTTGGCAGGAGCTTTGCCGTAACAAAGAATGCACCAGCCCAGCTTTCATTTGTCATTTCCACAGCTTTTGCTTTGCAGATGCCTGTAGCACCTCAAGTGCATGAAGTCCCCAAGCCAGAGGAAAGCCAGCCACTTGTTCATACAGATAGACATCTGTTGTTTTCCACCACTTCACGTGTAACAGCTTGGTTTATGCGAAAAAAGTTATCATGATTACAACAAAATAAACAGATATGGCAATACCCTGCGGAATCAAACAGTGAATGCAGCCCATCTTAAAACCAGCTGTAACTTTGGGCTGCCCCTTTAAAATAGGCAGTCTTGCCAAGCAGCAGCACAGGAGGCAGCACATCTCAGCTCTCAGAAGAAAGCTACCCAGCTATTCCCAGGTCTGGTTTAATTTTGTAAAAGCACTGAAACATTTGGAGCATTCACACATGTGTTAATGCAGCAAAGATGGTTCCAATTCACTGTTCTTTCTGACTTAAAGTGGAATAAATAAAAGCAAAATCTAGCCACATACCTTTGCTGAACAAGTGTTTCTTCCCTCCCTCTTTGTCCAACTTGACTGCTTTGTACATGCAGAGCAGTCTTGATAAGGTCAGAGTTGGCACAGCAGCTCCCACCGTTGCCTGATGCACCAGTATAACGCACATCTAAAGTCATTACCAGAATGCTACTGAAAAAGATACTGGGAGTATCTTCTACCGGGAGTAAGTCTGCTAGCCCCTCAAATATTATCCATTTTTATTATGCCACTTTATAAATTACATTTTTCATCATGTATCTTAGGCATACAAAATAAATGCACCAAGCCTCTAAAAATAAGATTCCTCACTAAAACCCTGCATGTAAGATACCAGTCCAGAGCACACATTTACAGTTATATCATAAATCTTTGGTAAAAATGAGATTTACAAAGGCTGTGCTGACACAGCTTATCTACAAGACTGTGAAAACAACAGCCGCGTATAGAGAGTTCACCCCTGCTAAAACACAACCCTATGAATATTGAACATCAAACCCCTCACAAGTCTTCCGACTTCTGCGGCGGGCCCCAAAACAGCAGGATTGCAAACCAGCCCCACCGCCGCTCCTTCCCAAACCAGGGTTCACCCAGCCCACTGAGCACAGGCTCCCACCCACGGCTGGACTGCAATTCCAAATCAAATACAAAACTCTTTTCATCACCTTCTTCCCCTCACTTGCCTTCATGAAGATATTCTTTCTACCCACCTGTTTTGTTGGGGGTTTTTATCCCCTCCTTACCTTTTAATATCTAAAGCAGCCAGGCCTTGCTAACTGCTGAACTTAAGTTGCTTTGGCCTCCAACCATGTAACCCTTAAAAGGTTCCTGAGCTTTTCTGGTCCTTTGGTTCATTTTTAAGAATTCTGAGCAATTAATGAGTACAGATTGAACCATCTTCTCTCTAGATTGACACATCTCCTGCCTTTGGGGCTTTTTTTTTTTTTTTAACAAAATAACATGCCCACTGTTACATACAAGTCACAATATAGCCTGCTGCAACACCCTATGGCATGCCATGAGATGTCCTATTGGGGACAGGGAAGGACACCAGGTGTAACAGAGGGACAAAATAAGAATTAAACCGCATTTTGCTCCAAGACTTACCTCTCACACGATCCTTGCAGTGGATGGGTCACAGCACTCCACTGGGAATCTCAAGGAGGGTTTGCTTTTGGCTCTAGTTGAGGAGAGGGAGGAATTTTCCCCATTCCCTGGAGACTGGCAGCAGGGGCCTGGGCTGTGAAGGGGGGAAGATGCCTGCCCCAGCCATCAGGAAGCACCTCCTGGTGTCATCCCACGCAGAGCAAGCTTTCAGCACCTTCCCAGGGCCCAACTCCAGTTTTACCCAAGGAAACACCAATGAGCTCTGGCTGCTGCCAGCACCCACCGCCCTAAAGCATCATCCATGTCTGCCACACGCCAGAGGTGGTGGTGGTGGGAAATCCCAGTCCTAAGCCCATTTCCCCAGCATCTGGGCTCTCCTGGCTTCCTGGGAAAAAAAAACAGGGGAGCAGCCCCTCACAGCCACAAGCTGCTCTTAATTTCCTCTTGCCTCCCCCCAGGGTGCCCCAGCTGTGTTCATAGGGATGGGGCAGCAGTAATTCAGCCACCCACACCCCACCCTGCGGTTGGAGACACTTACAGGAGGCCCCCCAGTCAAAGCCAATGCCACTACCATCACTGCCCTACTGGCCACCAGCACAGAGAGATGGGATAGATGGACTGAGGAGGGGCAGGACGCTCCTAAATACATCCCTCCTCATTAAGAGCCATTCCACAGCTGTCAGCACTTAAAGCAGACAAGCTTTAATGTTTGCAAAAGCTTTGTCAGAACCAACCCCCCCATGCAAAAATATCCATGAACGTTATTAAAAACTATATCAAGTTAAAAAAAAAAACCACAAAAATCCCCCCAACAAGAAAAACCCCAAAACAACAACAACAAAAATGCCAACTCCTCACCCCCCCATTTTGACCAACTTTGGACTGGAGTGTCTGGACCCAGCTGGACCAGTTTGAGAGGCAGGCAAGCACACTGGGAACCCAAGTCACTGGGAAAGACAGGGATACTGGGACCTGTTAGAATGCATTGCCTCTGTCTCGCAGGTGTGCAGCAACTAATTCACTTACGCCGAGGAAACATGCTGGCCTAAACAAGAAAAACAAAATGCATTTTAGACAAATAAGTTCACTATGTCAGGGTACCTACCGAGCAACATAACTGTGTCAGGGTACCTACCAGTACCATTAACAAGTCAAAATACGATTTGATGCTGTAATTACTATATATACATAGCAACGGGCACATATGCAGACATATGCAGCTTGATGATGATATTTGAAAGTTTTAAAACGCCAGCCTCTTTGGGTTGTCCCAGGCGTCCCCCATCAAAGCAAACAGTAAAGCAATTAAACACAGGTTTAGTTCACCCCAATTCAGCAAAATACCTAAAGCGGGATGCATGGATAAGTGTCCTTCTGAGTAAATCCCTCTACAGAAGTTTGTGTTACAGGCTATAAACAGAGTTGTCAGCATTTTAAACTCTGTATTGGGTTGGCTGTATATGTCAGTCGATTACTGATCTCCTGCATTTTTTTTTTCCTGGGTATCATTTCTTTACTTTCTGCATTTTTTCTTTATTTTCATAGTCCCATTTGCTGATCTGTCTTCTGCGCCATGTGTATATTAGCAGTTCTTAACACAGAACCATTTCATCAGGGTTGATGTTACTGGCAAAAACTCCCATTGATCGACTTGATTGCCTTTGGTAAGAGATTTCACAGGAATTTGATTGCTGTCTCAGGACTGCGAGAGATACGTGATAACGTAGTCCTAACAGGCTGTTTCCAATAGGAAGTGTTGATATGAGCTGCAGAGGCATTTCACAATTTTATTTCATTGTATTAACAGTCTTCAGAACATACACTATTTCATTTATAAAAAGGGATAGGGGAGCACAGGCAGATACCTGCCCGTGCTGTGTGTGTGAAGGGAAGGGCTTTGATGTGTGCCCAGAAG